TAGGGAACGAGCCGTCCAACTGGTGGACTAACTCTCCGCTAGCACGTACAACCGAGACACTCAAAGCTTGTATGCCTGAAAAAAAAAAAAAAAAAAAAACCAGTCCTACGAGCGCAGACTACCCCAAAACCAGGGTCTACAGCAACATCCCATCAAGGATGTCCCAGGTTCCGACAATTCCAAGTATCTCAAGTATCAGTAACCAAGTTCCAAATCCGGAGAGGTACATAGGATAGTTCTTAAAGCACTCCAAACTGATATTTCAATACTCAACTCTTTCCACAAACTCATTTTAACAACTCAAGTACCCCACACATAGCCAAACATATATAGAGATTCTCAAAATCCATATATATATATATATATATATATATACTCAAGATATATATATATATACTCAAGATACTCAAATATATCAAAACCCAAAATACATGCCAATACTTCATAAAAATATCAATTTCCACCATTGAATAAATAATATATCCAAATATACCATTAAACATTATGCATAAATTTTCCCATCATAAAACCATGCATATTATTTAAAAACAAAGTCCACTCACAAGTAGTCTCACGCTGCTTGACCTTAAGAGGGTCCCGCCTGCTGCGTATGCGTGGTCGGAGTACCTATTTCAGAATACGAACACGCGATTAACATCAAGCGCTTCGAAACAGAATTTTGAATTAAAAATCTAGTTTCCTGGGTTTCTAGTGAATGTACGAGGAATGAGACGTTCTAAGGTCCAACTACCCAAATCGGACGATGGAAAAGCCTCGGGAGACACTCGGTCAACCGGGCGATCAAACTTCCCAAATTAGGTCAACCGGGCCCACAGGACCCATGACCTCCGTTTTGAAATCCGCAAAATTTTACCCGCTCGTGACAACCTAAGGATCTCATCAGGACATTTAGCAACTCCACTAACCTTGCCCACGCGCTGCCACACACGCCGGTAGCGCATGGGTGGCTTGATCAATTTCCGACGACCGGAAAAACTCCAACTGCATGCCCAAACTCCTGTCCTAGGTAAAACACTATATTTGGAGTCACTTTTGTTCTTGGGCCTACCCCAAAAAGTGGCCGGAAGTGGCCGAAATTTCGAATTGAAAACCGGCCAAAAACCTAGGTTTTCAAATCGGATTTTATGCAACAAATTGATCCAATTCTATACAACAGTCAGCTAGAACTCAGAAAATGGATGAGAATCCATACCTCAACCGTCGAAAATGGTGGAGAATCGAGAGAGAACGAGAGCTGGAAAGTTCGTATGAAAACCGGCCTAAAACTTGCAATTTTCGGTGGCTTGCTTCGGTTCCTAGGGTGGAGATCAGTCGGGGGTGGAAGGGGAGAGTAGCCCGGTTCGTTTGGGACCGGTGCTGTCGATCGAGGTGGCCGGAGATGGTGGTGGCGTGGGTGGTTCTGTTCGGGTGAACAGTAACGGGAAGGAGAAATCGCAGAGAAGGAGGAGAGCTTGGGGAGAGAGAAAGAGAAAGTGAGGTAAAACTGAAAAATCTGATTTTTACCAAAACCCTTTTCGAATTATTTACGGTTTTGCCACCGAAAGTAATTTGATCGCCAAAACTTCGTTATAACTCCGATTCAGAGCTCGGGGAGAGAGAAAGAGAAGGTGAGGTAAAACTGAAAAATCTGATTTTTACCAAAACCCTTTTTCGAATTATTTACGGTTTTGCCACCGAAAGTAATTTGATCGCCAAAACTTCGTTATAACTCCGATTCAAGCCTATCGCCTGTCTATGAAGTCATCTCGGAACCAAAACCACCCGTGGTCCCAAAATCCTTCCGGATAAGAAAATGACCAAATTACCCTTACCTTAAGGGTAATTCTGTAAATTCACTTAATTAAATTAAAACAGGGAAATAATTTGGAGTCGTGGTGTTACATCAAATCTCTTAAACACAAATTCTTAATTAGTGGGCACACTTACCCATTACTTTCTAATTTTTCCCATTGGTCATCTACCTATAAAAATATCCAAATTGTCCCAAAGACACAAATTCTCAATTAGTGGGCCACACTTACCCATTAATTCCCAAATTTTGGAACTATATCGGTTTGATACCATTAAGGGTATGTAGGCAGTCTAACATCTCAATAGACTCAACCGCAATCAAATTTGAATCACTGGTTACATCAACCAAATTTTCACAAATCAAATATCCACCTTCACACAAATCAATTTGGAACTATGTTGGTTTGATCTCATCAAGAGTACGTAGGTAGTCTAGCATCCCACTAGACGCAACCTCAATCAAATTTGAATCCTTGGTTTATTCTAACCAAATTCGCCAAAATACTTTTCCAAGTGCAAATGTCAATTTTAGAAAATTAGTAGCTTAATTGAAATTTCTCACTATTTTTCTTGGACATTGACAATAGGAAAAATGGTACAAAACCATCCAACTTTTTCCATGGGTCATCTACACATGGAAATTTCAATGAGATTAAACTCAAATTTCTCAAATACAAATTCTCAATTAGTGGGCCACACTTACCCATTAATTTTCATTTTTTTCCCATGGGTCATCTACCTATGAGAATTTCAACATCTTCAAATTGTCTTGAAGACACCAATTCTTAATTAGTGGACCACACTTACCCACTAATTTCCAAATCTTAAATCCGAACTACGTTGGTTTGATCCCTTTGAAAGGGTATATAGGCAATCTAGAGATTCAATCTAGATGCAACCATCCAAAACACAATTCCATATCAAATCCCTAATTTATTCAAACTAAATTCACTCAATCACTTCTCAATACAATTCAATTCAAATTTCCCTCGCTATAAGTCATTTATTCATTGCGATTCTTTGAACTACGAGTGGCTTGATTCCCGCAGGGGATACGTAGGCACCCTGAGGTTCGACTTAGAGGCAGCCGCAAAACCAAAGACACATGTTATGTTTCTTTGTAATTAAATCAAAGGGTGTTCCCTTGAAGCAAGAGATTGTAATTAAGAGACACTACGTCTCGATTGGGTAGAATCTAAAATAACAAAACCCCATTAATTAATTAGTGGTGGTGAAATTATGTTGGGAGGTTCACACATTTTCCTTCAACATGGTCATCATGGCAAAAAGGTTATTGTACTGTTCATTAGTGAACATAACTAAGAGAGCAACCAGTCAAGCAGGGGCACAAACGTCACTTAACTATTCCTAAGCTACAGTCTAAGAACAGTGACTTTGAATCAGTTTTAGTATATATATAATTTTAATGAGAATGAACTCTATTTTCATTCTGATTCAGTTGGTAAACAGCTTAAGTGGAATGCATGACTCCGATTCTTGGTTAATCCGATTCATAGTTACGCTGATTCTTGATTAATAAACATGCCCTAATAAAAGGAGATTGATTATCGGGACTGGGTTAGGAATCGTAATTCAACTTTCTAAGTCTAAAGTAGGCAGCCAATTCGTACATACATGCATGTAAAGGAAAGAATAATGGTAATTTTGTAACTTGTTGCCTATTGAAACAAACATAATATTTCAAGCTTATATTGATGATGATTGTTGTTGGAAACAAACATAATATTTCTAGCAGGTATATATGATATCCAGCTCCTCCTATCGTATAACAGAGAGAAAGAAAGGAGGGATAATGAAGAAAGAAAACAAGCGACAGGACGAGGTGGTGTCATCTGAGTTGGAATGGCGGATGATTTTGGAACCTTTGGAACCTTTGGAACCTTTGGAACCTTAAGCTTCCGAGTTGTGTGAAACAAAGTACTGCCATGGTAATTTGCAGCTGGCAGTGGTGGCTGCTGCTGCTGCTGCTTCTGCATTTGCTGCTCCCCAACAACCACCACCCTAGTAATAGTACTAGTAGTTGTTGTACCACCTCTACTTCCATCTCCATGGGCTGAACTTGGAAGCGATTGACAGAATATTAGAAGAAGAAGAAGGAGCGAGAGACTGAGTATGCAGCGTGGTTTCATCTCATTCAACATGCCTGCCTTCTTGCTTTGCCCTGGCCTGCTCTGCTGCTGCTGCTGTTAAGCGTTAAGCAATATGCTAAATAAGTTCCTACTACTTCACCAATACTACGTAACGTAGGGATATTTGGTCACTCCATGTGGGCAAGGATGTCCAGTGTGATTCAGCCGAAAACTTTGAATATCTTTGACAATTAATTAAACAAATGAATTTTAATTGAACGCGGTTTTGACATAAGAGAAGAAAAGGAAGATGCCACGGAACCATGCCACAAGGAAGTAAAAAATCCCAGTGAAGAAAAGGACTAGGCGCACAAGCGACAATGAATCATTTCTGTCCACACACCAGTAATCTATATTATCTTCAGTTAAGGCAAAGCAAGGCAAGAGCTGCCACTATTCACCTTGTCTTTTTTGGCTCCACCCCAAAAGGCTAGGGCAAGGGCAAGAAAAAAAAAAGAATATGCAACAAAATATAAACAATTTAGAAATGCAAAAAATAAAAAAATTGTGCAAGAAATAAAATTAATATGGAAGAAAATATAAACAATTTACAAATGCAAGAAAAAAAATGATTACAATTTACAAATATTGAAAGAAGAAGAGTTTGTATGAGGATTTGGTGTGGAAAGTGAATAAAATTATTATGTATTTATAGAGAAAACATCCATAATTTTTTGGTATTTTTTTTTAAAAATTTGAATTTTTTTCGCTCGTTGACGTCAGCGCCTTTGGGCTTGAGTCCAGACAGAATCTGCCCTTGGGCTTGCCCGGGCTGGTGTGACCCAGGGCTTGCCCGGGCTCTCTTTCCTGCGCTGGAGGTCCAAACCCAGCTTAAGGGGGCCTCTTGCCCTGGCAAATGGGCTGCAGTGGACATGCTCTAACCCATCAGTAAATTATGCGTGACAAATAGGTCCACGGCACCGACTATAGACAAGAAATGATAAGAACTAGCATTGTCATTTGTGATATCAGCTAAACGTCGCTCTTATCTTCCTTGAATTGCTGGCTAATAAGATCCTCCTCAACCAAAGACGGTGTTTGTATTTGTATTAAAAAATAGGATTTGGAAACCCAAAAAAGATATGTACAAAAATTCGGTCGAATCGGAAATCATGATTTGTTCGTTTTAGAATGAGTCTCATACTCAAGAGTATAAGAAAGAAAGAAGAATTGGGGGCAGTCAGTGGTGGAACAACAGGCTATCAAGAATTTCGCGTTTGAGGTTGTGCAGGGACATATTTAGGCCCACATGCCTTGCCAACTCACCTATGACTCGTTCCATGTATAACACATAGACCCCATTTCTGCTTTCCAAAACTTGTAATGCCTTGCGTGCGTGAACCATTGATGCTACCCACTCTTCGAAGACCACTGCAAAATCACCACCACATCAAAATTATTTCTCAGGTCAGCCAATATGCCTATGCTTGATCTAAGACCATCTATCTAGTAAAAGAAAATGTTTTGCATTATGTCTGCAACGTAATCTGCATAGCTGCATTATATTTCCTTAAATTTCTTTGTGCAAAAACGGGTGCTATATGCATGCTTATGCTATCTCACGGGGGTTTGTGAAATTCTGTTTGGTTTGGAATGATCTGGGAATTGTTCAAATTCAATCTGGCGTGAGACCAAAAAACAAAAACAAAACCAAAAAGATTCTTAAAGCTTGTGAAATGCATAGCAATTAAGAGAATAACTCACTGGTGTCAAAACCTTGATCCTTTGACCATTCTGATAGGTAATCGGATACCAAAAACTCTGTAAGCTGGATCCTGTCATACGCATAAACAAATGAGAGAGGCTAATTTAAACTTATTACAAGAAAGTTATATCAGAAACTCATTTCACTGGGAAGAGAGGTGTGTGGTCACAGTTCAAGATTACTAAA